GCAAAACACAACCCAATTTTACACAAAACAATCAAAACACAATCAGGCACAACCAAACTGGAATGCCAAACCAACCAACCAACACTCTCTGAAAACAACACCAATCACGAAACTCAATCTGACACAACCAGATACTTCATCCTACATGGGCACAACCCACTACCCGACCAACATAACACAACCACTTTGAAATTAACATAACTTAATGAGACACAACCCGATACCAAACTTACACAACACAACCAGGCTCAACTAGACAAACAACCACCAAAACACAATCGACTATAAAACTAACACAATCGAGCACAACCAAACAACAAACCGACACAACACAACATAGCCAACGAGGCCAAACTCAAATCAACCCATTGTTGAATTAACATAACACAACCTGATACCAACCACCGCAACAGAACCAGTCACAGCCCAATACTGAATCAATTAAACTACACTATTAAATACAATTAGACACAACCTGCAAACACAACTAAACTATGATACCAATTTACTTAGTACACAACTAACTGTCTCCGACTGGAGACAATCCCAAAACAAACCAAAATCAGGGACAACCCATCCCCCTCCCCCTCATTTAGGCTGCTCATGTGATGAAGAACATATCATGGACCACCAACCATGAGTTCGAAACATCTTGGGCCCTTACTGTGACTCACAAGTAAGGGAGAAGATTCACTACTGGATCGGGATGTCCGGCCTTTCTCTACAAAAATGACAATAGGAGTGACACCAATGTCATCATCCTAGGATCAACTAAATATACTCTACCTGGCACATAATCACTGACGGTGGTTCGGGGAAGCTTAGACACTAGACTATGTCTCCCAGGTTCCCTAAACGAGACCGCTCACCATTTGACACAGATTGCATGACTTATGCGTGTTCACAAGGGGTGATGTCTCAGACATGGTCTAAGTCAACCCCTCCCAAAATACGGGCCATCAAACCCTACATTTAAGTTTATATCTCAACAACAAGATATGCAACGAATATAATGCACATACCTACAGAGAGCTAAAACATTAAACAAGCCACCCGAACCATCGAAAGACAATTTACCACCAAAGACCCATCCCAGTCACACTCAAACCAACTTTACAAATCGATAATACCGCAAAATGCCGAAAACACCAAAACGCGACCAAACACGGAAAAAGTCAACAACTCTTATAATACACACAATTTAAACATAACATATACCTGACCATGAAGCTGAAACAATGAACAAAACAACCAAATTAAATTTCAACATTGAACTGACCATACCCTGATGCATAATTAACCAATACGCATACACCCTCCCGATAAAACACAAATATGGGAAAATCAAAATATTTGAAATACGGGCCATCAAGCCCTACATTAAAGTTAATATCTCAACAACAAAACATGCCACGAACATAATGCACACACCAACAGAATGAAACATTAAACAAGCCACCTGATCCATTAAAAGACAATTTACCTACCATTGACCCACCCCAGTCACCACCAAATTCAAACCGACTTAACAAATCGAAAATACAGCAAAATGCCGGAAAATAAAAAATACAACCATACACGAACAAATTAATGTATACTCAAACACACAAAATATCAACACAAAACACACATGACAATGAAGCGCAAACAATGAACAAAACAACCAAACCAAATTCCAACACTGAACTGACCATACCCCAATATAATTAACCAATACGTATACGCGTTCGATTAAAACAAAATCGAAATACTTGAAATACGGACCACTAAACGGTACATTTAAGTTAATATCTCAACAACAAGAAATACTAGCTACATATCGCATATACCAACGGAAAGCTGACACACAAAATCAACCACCTGAACTACCAAAAGCTATTCACCCACCCTTAACCTACCAGAGTCACCGCCAAACGCACACCAACTCAACAAATTGAAAACACCACAAAATTCCACACGATACAACCGAACACGAACAAGCCAACAACCCTTTAAATACACACAATATCAATATATAACATACACGACAGGGGCGGATCCAGGAACCAACAAGGGGGGGGGCCCAAATTTCAGGTCAGAGAAAAAAAAGTCTGCGCTTGCGCGGAAAAAAATTTTGGGCCCCCAAAATCCAAAAGTGGGCCCAAATTTTGAAATTTTGAGGCCCATTTTCTTCAAAATTTGGCCTGAAATTAAAAAATAAGGCCTTAAAAGGCCTAGTAATGACCAAAAAGGCCCACTTTTTGGGGCATGAAGGCCTTGTTTGGCCCAAAAAATTTTTTGGGCCCAATTTTTTTTCTTCTGGGCCCACCCAAGGGGGGGGGCCCGGGCCCCCAGGCCCCCCCCCCTAATCCGCCAGTGCACGACCATATGGCCTAACCGCAAACCAAACCAAACCAAAACTTATCAATAAACTGACCACACCTTTATGCAATAAACCAATACGCATAAACAACCACCCCCCTCCCGCCAAAAACGAATACGGGAAACCTATTAAAATACAACTAGAAATAAAACAGCATTATCATTCAGAATCAAATCACATACAACATTCTTTCGGCCGCTGATGAAGAACAATCATGGAATACCCCCATGAATTCGAAACATCTTGGGCCCTTATAATGACCAACATATAAGGGAGAAGATCCGCTACAGGATCGGGATGTCCGGCCTCTCTCTACGTGAATGAAGTTAGGGAATAACACATCAATGTCATTACCATATGATAGGATCTACCAAATATACACGACCCGTCACATGAGTACTGACGGTGGTTAGGGGAAGCTTAGCTACTAGACGTTGTCTCCAAGCCCCCATCCCCCCCGAACGAGACCTATCACCATTAATACAGATTGCATGATATATGCGTATTTACTACAGGTGATGTCTCAGGACATTGTCTAAGTCACCACTCCCAAAAACCGTGCGATAACAGATTAATTTTATATCCGCCATCCGGAATAAGTAAGCCTTAATTTGATTATTTGACACTTTGCCCACGCGTTATCTATTACAGGAGTCCTGATTGGATGGATTTACTGGCGGCTGTTTCAAAGTGGCATCATCAATATTATATCACAAAATATTTTTTGGACACTAAAACAGGTGGGCCTTTCATTATGTGTCCAGTTTTTTGTCCAATTTTACCCAAATTTTGGTGCAACTGCCCCCCCCCCAAAAAAACTGCCCCCCCCACAACGTGCAATTGTCTTTGGGAAATAAAATACCAAAGATAGATCTAGCAAATAACCGCTAATATGAACACTGTTACTAAACAAACCAGAAGGGAGGATAACACAGGACTATACCTCACCCTCCTAAACACGATGTTGATGATGATTATGGGGCTTTCTTCATCGCCCCCAATTTAACATAAACATAAACCGTATAAAATCCAAAACGCAACTTAAACGTATCAATCGGCCCTATACAAATACATGTAGAGTTCACACAAAAATAGCCGTTCAGCTCTAGTGTTTGTTTAGACTACACCATAGCTTGTAATGATTACATAGTATCCCATTGATGAAGTTCAATAGCTGGTTTTCTAATACATATTTTAAACGAGCTTGTTTCGTAAGATTATTGGAGTTAAATCATGCGTAACATACATCATCTTCTTCAGAAAGAATCATACTCTGCATCGAAATCAAAATTGCAAGGATAGTATTCAACAGACATGAGTATAATGATTCCCGTTGATAGCAACGTGAAATTTTAAAATCTCCCGTTCTAAACACGCAACGTTGAAGTTGAACGGGTATCTGAAGTAGACTAAAGCGATACAATCCTATGTTGATTCAATGTACTTTGCGTTTACGTATACGTTTTGAAAAACCGTATTTGCTTAACCTCTCCATTGTCTAAGTCACCACTCCCAAAAACCATGCGATAACAGATTAATTTTATATCCGCCATCCGGAATAAGTAAGCCTTAATTTGATTATTTGACACTTTGCCCACGCGTTACATGTATCTATTACAGGAGTCCTGATTGGATGGATTTACTGGCGGCTGTTTCAAAGTGGCATCATCAATATTATATCACAAAATATTTTTTGGACACTAAAACAGGTGGGCCTTTCATTATGTGTCCAGTTTTTTGTCCAATTTTACCCAAATTTTGGTGCAACTGCCCCCCCCCCCACAACTTCCCCCCCCCCCAACAACGTGCAATTGTCTACGGAATATAAAATACCAAAGATAGATCTACCAAATAACCGCTAATATGAACACTGATGTTTATGGGGCTTTCTTCATCGCCCCCAATTTGGGTGCCCCCCCCCCCTGGCCAGAAATTCTTTCAAAATCAATCAGGTACATAGCCTATCTTTGGCCAAGAAATATCTAAACGCTCGATTACCACGACATATTTTAACAAAGGGAGGCGATAATCGGATCCATATTTTGTTCAAGAAATTATGGACGCTCGATTGCCACGACATCTTTTAATAAAGGGAGGCGATAATCGGATCCATATTTTTGTTCAAGAAATTATGGACGCTCGATTACCACGACATCTTTTAACAAAGTGAGGCGATAATCGGTCCATATTTTTGTTCAAGAAATTATGGACGCTCGAATACCACGACATCTTTTAATAAAGGGAGGCGATAATCGGGTCCAGGATTTTTTCCGGCACCCGATTTTTCGACGTACGGAATTTTTTCCGGCACCCGATTTTTCGACGTACGGTATTTTTTCGGGTACCGGTTTTTTTTAACGTACTGAATGTTTTTAGATACGGAATTGATTCCAGTACCGATTGAGAGAACAATTTGGCTAAGTGTTTATCATAGTAGAGAATTCGGGTACCAGATAAAATTAGGTGACCGAAAAATAAAGTTGGGTCACCTAATTTTAAACAGGCATCTAATATAGAGATAGGTACCGGAATTTCCACTAAATATGTCAGGAGTACAAAATAGGCACTGATTTTTATATTGGTGCACCCAAACTACTGAATTAGGTATGTAATACTTTTGACACAGAATTTACACCATACAATTCAACTGATTTCTATTAACACACAATTCAACCACACTCAAAATAATCAAGCATGCATAAATAGTTAATACCTCATGACATATTATTGCATGTGGTTCCATAAAATATTAACTAAATTTAAATATAAGTATTGCACACTTTGACCAAAAACTCTATGGTATGTCTTGTAAAATTGAAAGAGATCAGAGCTCAATTTTTTCACAAAGAGGATGTGATGTTGAATAACTATATTGTGTAAATATTTCTTCTCCAAAAAATACATTGGTTAGAAGAACTCTCTGAATGTAAATATCATTAAGCCACTACCCATCCGACATATTTCCATACACTTGTATATAGTGTAAGATTAAGAATTAGAAAGTAAACATGTTTTCTACTTACTCGGGCCACATGTACAGTAAAATATGAAAGAAATTTTTAGTGACATTTGATTCACTTAAATGCAAATGACCTATCTATTCAAAAAATCATTAGCCTCTGAATCCCCAAATCCTACCTACTTTACCTTCAGAAGGTGAAGTATATAGGATCTCAAGGTCACAATGGCTTGCAGCAAAACTATACAATAACGACAAAATTCCCTGACCATGTATTATACAACCAATTCCTAAAGTTCAGTTTCCTTTAGGCAACCATTCTTCACTCCAACAGTATGCGGCAAGAACCATCTATCCTTAATCACCTCTTTACCCTCTTTCCCATCCCCACCCCACGACGACAAAAATGTGTTTTGTAAAATCCAACCTTTTGATCTTAGGCGGGCGGAACATTGTAGTCTCGTGAGCTGTGTGGTTGGAACATTTGAGCGTAACATTTCCGAAATAAATACAATATTGAGAAGATCGATTAGGACCAATGGGGTGTCATTTTCATCCCATGACCCAGCAATGTATGTTTTAAAACGATTCCAATATGGGCAAAAACGTTCTGTTACTTCTAAAAACATCCCATCAGGTTCAAACTCCTTCTTTTTCTCTTCATCGATCTCCTGAATAATATTCCTAACAAGATCAGTGAGCGGCTGAATTTGGTAAAAATCTGCCTCGGCTAAAAGTGACGAATAATCTTTAAAGCCATCAGGTAGAGATAGCGTGGACGATCGCAGGAAGTTCAAGACATATTTAAATAATTCCCCGTCCCGATCAATGAAAATCCTTCCATGTTCGTCTTTTGTGTTTGACATATTGCCATTGAACATTGCACCAATCATAGTGTTAGGATAAGTCGTTAATGTGAGACGTGTTGTTGTATAGATGACGCCACCAACATTCAGGTGAATAAGCTCATTGTCTTTGATGCTTGTCATTCTCATGACACCTGTCATATTGTGTGTGACAGCTGTCATTCTCATCAAATGGTGTCAGTCACAAATGCATAGAACCTGGAAATACAAAAAAATAGTTCATTATTTCTTGTACAACTTTGAATTACTATAATAATGTCAATATTGAGAAAGGTTTGTTTACTGCATAATAATTTAACCTCCAAATGCAGTACTATACTCCAGACACAAGCTACTCTGTTCCTTTTTGGATGATGTCGCATTTGAAGAATGCTTACTTGCCTTCTAGTTCTTTTGTCCTTTGGTTATTGCAGTTATAATATTCACATTCGACAAACATAATAATGTAAAACAATACCTATTATAGGACATGTACACAGTTCAGTACAACCTGTGTAAAAGATAGGATAGAAAGAAATTATACTCATTGATGTGTTCTTATTGATTGAGTGCCAAATTGAGTGTATATGTACAGAATATAAGTTTACCAAGCCTTCGTGTCTTGTCTCCTTATTCCTTATCATGTTATCTTGTACAAATACTTTAAGAAAGGATAAACATAACAAGTATACATTTAAAAGTCCATCAGCTCCTATCTGCTTGAGTGTTTCTCAAGATAAGTTATCAATGTGACCTTATAAAATGTCATACAAACTTAATTTGAAAGTAAAACTATAATGAAGAGCTTAATTTGTCTCAAGTCACCAAATTCTTAAATTTGAACACCCCCCCCCCCCTATTGGCATAAGCTGGTTGGTGGCTATGGGTCTGAAGGACTCAAAAATTCAATTTTAACCTTATTTGTCTCAAGGTCTCTGTAACCTCCATTCAAGGCTGGAAAAAGTAGGAGAGTTAGTCTAGCTAGAAGCCCCTTTGATCCCATCCCCTCAAACTACTTGACTCCACACCTTCTCACACACATGGGTTTCAAAGAACACAAGAGTCCAAAGCAAGACTACAGGAAAACATGCACTTAGATGTGGAGAAAGAAATTATATTGAGGCACCACAAACAAACTTATACATGGTTAGCCCCATTGACATTGCACTGAGATACATGTATTTTACCTTTTGGTATAGAGCTACTAAAGGCCTTACTTTGGTTAAAGATGTGTATAATGAGAAAAGCTTTTTTCTGGTCCTAATAACTTTTTCATAGCAGCGTCATCCATAACTACTGTGTTCAGACTTCTGTCAGAGCAATCCTTATACCACTTATCCCTAATCTCTTTGTTGTTATGGTTATTCTTCCCTGTTGCTACAGCAACAGACCCTAAAAACTCCCAATTCTTAGATTTCAATCTAGCTGCACATTGAAGTCTGGACAGCTTCATTGTATATCGGGAAATTATCCCCTTTTCGTCATTTATAACGTCATAGATTGTTGGTTTAAGTAGCTCCTGAAGGCCAGGAGGGAATCGGTAAAGTGAATCTTCAGAGTAGCCAAACTCCAGCAAAACATCATTGCCACTTTCTATGATTTCAATAATACAGCCATATTTGGAAGTCTCTATGTTTTTTGGTTGCCCGAGCAACTCATGCGCTTCTCTTACTTTTTTGATATCTCTCATCAACGGCAATATCTTATAATAGCTAACTTCTTTTTCTAATTGATCAAACTCGTCAAAATTTTCTGGCAGATTTAGCTCACCATCTCTGATATAATTCAGTACATAGCGGAATAATTTTCCATCACGATCCAGGAAATAGTTATCTGAGTTATCCATTATGACGTATGGTTGGCTCATGAACATCCTACCAAGGGTAGAGTTCGGGTACTTCCTCATACACGCCAATGTGGTGCAGTAGATGAAACCTCCTACATTTAAGCTTATGACAACTTCTCCCATATTACTCCCAGGATAACTCTCACTTGGTTTTTTCCTGAATACCTTTGATTTTAATCCTAACATGTATACTATTAACAGTGTCAGTCAATATTATTGGTTTAAGCCAGTTTCAATAATATCACCAATGTGCATGTTAATAAATCAACTTAATGGAACGCTAGGCTAATTAAATCTGGTAAGTTCTCTCAAAACAAGCCTAACATTTTCTATATTAAACACACAAAAAGAGTCAATCTATTGTATGTATCAAGTTAATTGAATACAGAGGAATCATTTCTTTTTTCCTTTGATCCAGTAGAATAAATATCAAATCCAATATAATTTCTTATTACAAAAAGACAAAATTTATTTCAAGAGTAAAATAAAATACCCTTACAAAAGCTATTCCAGCTTATAATTTTGCAATACTTTGTTTTTTAAAAATGAAAATCTGAAATTATAGATTTACATCAGAGGAAACCTCAATTTTTTGCAAGACAAATGCACAAACTACCTTAATAATTACAATAGAAAGGCGACAAATTCAATTTCCAGCATTAAACTGTTTGCCAGGGTTGTGAAAAATAGAGAATCAATGTGCAACAGACTTACCAGAACTAAGAAATAATTTATGAGGTTTTGATAATCAACAAGACTTAACTGAATTATTAATGAGCCAATGGACTACTTTGCACAATTCAATCATGCGAGGTAGTAGTCTTGCATCGAGTCTTTGTATTCCATCCCCTATTTATTTCATTTCATGTAGAGGGGAAGTGTGTAGGGATGGGAATGGGGGATGAATGGGGGATTCAGAACTCATCAGAAGGCCCCAAAACATTCATGCAAGCAAACATACATGTAATATCTTATAAATACTTGTGAGGCCCTGACAGTGTGTCAGATATTATTTATCCAAAAGAATTGATTTTTAGGGATGGTCTCCAAATATTGATAGTTAAAAGAGAAATGAGTTGTAAATAGGAAATTTCCATAATGGTTTGCATAACACTATTGGTCAAATTATTTTTGGAATATTGGGCATTTCAATTTAATTGCATAAAAGTATGCAAGGGTGATTGTTCTGAAATGTCCAGCTAACGTTTCAATGTTATATCTTCATTACATTGGGTCAAAATTTGATGTCAAAATTGATGAATTTCATGAAATTTAACAAAAATGGCAGATCCCATGTTAAACAAATGGGGAATGGTGGCTTAGCACTTAGGGGCAACTCAGATTTTGGAATATCCATTCAGTAAAACATTTATTAAAAATACTTTCTAAATGCTAAATGTCTCGCTTATGTTGTTAAAATTAGCGATACGGAGCGTTAAAGTAATTTTGACCACCTCACTGAACCACCTGTGTTATTTCAATAAGAGGATCATTAAAAAAATATTGAATTTGAAACCATTAACTTTTGTAAACCCTGGACAATTAAATCATATTTTTGTAGAGTGGACAATTTAGAAAATTTAATTATCTCTTACAATTTCAATTTTGAGAGCAATCGGATGGATGGATCGTTCCTCATATGACTTATGGCAACCCAACCATTCCCCATTTGTTTAACATGGGATCTGCCATTTTTGTTAAATGTCATGAAATTCATCAATTTTGACCCAATGTAATGGAGATATAACATTGAAACTTTGCGGACTTTATAGGGAATAGAACCAAGATACAGATTTATTTTCTTTATTGGGATTTATTTTGTTCCACGCTTAGAAAATAGTCGTTCAAACAAATATGGGGGTTAGCATGTTTATTTACAGGAAAACCACTGGTCCTTAACTTTTTTGAGGAGTATAATAGTGAAATGACTTGATAGCCCTTGCATCCCCAGTGTAGACTACTGTTACCAAAAAAACCTATAAGAGCTAAACAGAACATTTTAAAATAATCTGCTACTTTATCATCAATATCAGAAAAAACTAAATGGTTGGTTGTAACCTGGTTATACAAGATATCAACTAAATAAAATGAACACAAAATTGACTGAATTCGAAAGTCCTAGGTAGTTTACGTAAGATCCATCCTTATTAAACCCCGAATTTATTTTTATAATTGATTGAGTAAACAAATCTGGGAGATTTGCACACACATATTTAAATGTTCATTGACGATTTTATCTGTCAATTAATGTATGATGAACAAACGTACAATGCCCGGGTAAAACCTTAGTTGGTTGATTTATTGCTTGAGAGATTGATGGGATACCTATGATTCAATCTTTCATAGACGGTGATACAGAGGATCTGATAGGTTAGACTGCTTGACTTACTATTTTTTTCATGGTCTGACTCCGTCATTAGAACTTGAAATATAAGAGTTAGAGTAGATTTCATGGCCTGACTTCGTCGGTAGAACTTGAAAAATAAGATTTATCTGAAGATTAGGAGTCTTACTTACCCTCTAAAGGTTAGAACACACATTTTAATGAAACCATATCAGCTATGTTTTGTTCATGATGAAGCATAAGCACAGTACTTGATTGAAATTTGTGTTAATGCTTTTTGGACTTTTCCATTTTCTTCATGTTTACTTCCGGGACGGCTTTGCCTCTATCACGAAATACTGAATTGACCTTGAACTTTAATTTTGTGACATATCATCCAACCATGTCTGATGTAAAAATAATTAAAATATTTGAAAATAATGTTTTGTGGTCTCTTCTGCAGACGAGTTTAGGAGGGCAGAAGAGGATGGCCTGTTCTAAGATAGAAAAGTGCATGATCTACAGTTGAACTATTGGTCTGAATGAAATGCTGCGCGGAAAGTATGAATGGGTCGTCAGCTGTATTAGTCTATTAATATTTTAGGACCTGTTTGTGATGCTTTATAATTTAGACCAAAGTGTAGACGAATACATGCACGTGTAAATTATAAAATCAATGAACAAAGATTCAATTTTCACAAATGTTCGGTAATTTATCGTATTGAAACTCCCGGAACTTACTTGGAAATCATTCATTTTCACGATCCATAATTTACCTCTTGGATATTGTGCCAAATTGTCTATAGTTGACGCAACAAAGGTGATAGAGTTTCATTAAAATGTGTGTTCTAACCTCTAGAAGGTAAGTAAGACTCCTAATCTTCAGGTAAATCTTATTTTTCAAGTTCTACCGGACGAAGTCAGGCCATGAAATCTACTTTACCTGAAGATTAGGAGTCTTACTTACCCTCTATAGGTTAGAACACACATTGCAATGACACCATGGCCATGGGGGGAGGTAAGGACAAAATATTTCGACGTGACATTTACACAGTTTTTACCGTATCGGCATTTTATGAAAACCAAATTGTTTTAAATATCAACATAATGTGTGATTTCATATAATGCGTGACATTTCATCATACATGCAAAATTAATGCGTGATTTCAGTTTTCCAGCAAATACGTGACAATAACGCCTAATACGTGAGGGCTGACAGGGCAGATGACAGATTTCTAATAAAGACACTACTGTTGCAAATCCACTACTGGATCTACAGACTCTAAGTGGTCGTAACATAAACCTGTCACAATCAACAAACAGGACAATATTTCATGCCTTTTGCAATTACATTAGGCAAACCAGGAGATTTTAAATGACCACATATAAAAACTGTATATAATCACGGACATCTAATACGTTCTTCGAATTGCCCTGGAACTATATTTATACCAGGACTGGCATCCAGATCCAAGTATTTTTTAAGACCGCCGACTCTCGTTGGGCTATTTATCCCTATTGACTCAGTTGTTCATATAAATTTACGTACCTTAGATGCTTTTTAATCGACGTAGATAGAAAATATTGTTTCCTAAATTGTTCTGGAAAGCGATAATTATAACTAAATGTACTTTGAACAGGTCGACTGACAAAAAAGCCGGGCTTCTGGCACGTCTCGTTCTCGCTCTCAAACAAAACGTGAAGAACGTGACGTCACTTCCGAATCATAGCATTCAAAATAAGTAGCGTTTAAATCCCAACAACATATATAATATATCGGTGGTCTAGGGGGAGAATCCTCACTTGGCACGCTGGAGGCCCGGGTTCGAATCCTGTACTCGCTCTTTTTTTTTTCGAGGTCGTTATCTTCATCGTCTAGTTTACGAATACCAAATGTCGATGTGATGTTTTAATTGATAAATACGAATTCCTTACACATTTCGTTATCTTATTGTGAAATAGCAAACTAAGAGATATCTTTACTCGCTAGGAATTAACATAATATTATTTGAAGCGATTTTAGAAAATTTTGAAACCGCCATCTTGGTAATATTGATGACGTGATCACCATCGGTCAAGGTCAGGTCAAAAGTCATCCATCTTGCCATTAGCCTCGCGGATTGTTACCAGTCGACAAAAAACGATGAAATCACGTTGAAAATAAAATATACACTTTAAAATTGAGGCTGATCGAATATGACAAGACTCCATTGAATACAGCTGTGCAATTTACAGTCACCAAGATGAGCTAATTTCGGAGAGATTCGGGAATTAAAAAAGGTAAGCACTTCCGGTTTCCCAACTTAAAAGTATTTGAAGTCCCAGAATTTCGCCAGAAACATTCTCTCTGACTGTGTATATAATAGTATAAGGAATTTTAGACTTTTGATAAAGAACAAGTGAATAAGTATCAAGAGCAAGCACAAGGGAATAACCAGTAACACGTGACCAATAAGCGGCATTATAACGCTACAAAGGATACAAACAAACAAACATACTGTTGCACTTAGTAAAATGTGCGCACCTAGTAAAATCAATCAATGGTTGAATCATATGCCAAGGGAAAAGTAATAGTAAACTGTATATACAATAGAAGAGACCTCTATATTCAGCTTACCATTACTTTTCCATGTTTGAACTTCTGAACTCTTCCCTAATCTTGGAAGTATTATACACTTTATATCAGATAACTTACCAGTTAGCCCATAGATGCGAATTGAATGGATGAAATGGTAATACGAACACCCATTAAAGCTCTAATATAGACACATGATTCTGCATTTCAGCGTCAATTCTTTGTTATTGTCTTTTATTACCTGGGATTTTTTATTTCCGGTTCGCTTTTCGCTATAGCGTTTATAGAAACTTAATAATAGACTATCTATTCGAAGAAGCATATGATTACTTATGTTAAAATCATATTTCTATTTAATATTCTATTTTGCGATATTAAGAATGCATACAGTATTGTGTTGAAATATATTAAAGTAATTCGGACTAAAGTCTCTTTGAGACTATTTGTAACAAGGCTGCATGTTCTCACTAGGAAATATTAATTATTAAAAAAGGTGGCCTGACACTTAATCCACAACTCCACGTCATTATCACGCGTTAGTATGTCACAATGACACTGAATAGAGCTTAAAAGTATATCTGAAAGCAAGGAGCAGATATATAGCGATAAAAGTTGTGTGGTTTACACTTTTCCACTGCAATATTATTTGGTGCAATTATGGACTTGTATTTGAAAGTGCCCAATGAGCTCTCAATCCAGAATCAAGAAAATGGGGACCACAAAATGCAGAGGCAGGTCAGTGAGAATCCTGATGAGACCATAGAATCTAAAGGACTTAGATTCTGTCAACGCTTTCTCCAGGGACGATGGAAAGATGTGTCGGAAAAAGATTTCACAGTGGAACGAATCCAGTGAGTATGATTTACGTGCATTATCATGGTTACCTCATTCCAAGGCTGATTTTCGTATAACTTTCAGCCTAGCATTGGCTTCATCCACTCCCAAAGATTTCTAGCCCATAGCCAGGGGCTTGATTTGGGGGAAGAGGGGTTTGGGGGAAGGGAGCAGGGGGTGGTTGAGCATACCCCTTAGCCAAAAACTCTTTTCAATATAATGCAGTTTCCACCATTTTGAGTTCATAGGTATTTTGGGCCAAAGCTTTCAAATGTGAACCCTCCTGATACATTTTGATTTTCTAGAGCTCTTCATATCACTCCGTAAAGTAAATTCCCCGAAGAAACAAAAATGGTCATTTTGACAGAAGTACATGTATAGTTTGAATAGAAATACCTGAGTAGTATATGTATATCTATGATGCAAGTCTATTTGATTGTGCGTCAGTCAAGTCTTAAAAATATACCATTAAAGCACCATATACGTACATAGTTATATCATATTATCTGGAAAAATACCATCATACTTGTATTTTAGATGCAAAATGTTTATCATACCAGATTGTTATTTCAGATAGATTAGTTGTATTTGGAGTAAACCTGTTGCCTTTTGCAATTGGGAAGTTCAAGGATATACAAACTTGCTTCTAAAATATGAATGTTTTCATTAACCTTCAACTTCAATATCAAGATGGCGTTGCACCTACTTGAAATCCTATTTGCAACCACTCTCAAATGGGAAAAATCATCAAAAGTTGCTATATTTTAGAAACCTTAGTGGTCTCCAAAAATATATATCAAATATATTGATTATTCTTAATTTTCATTAAGACCAAGTTTATATAACTGTATAAAGAGTAGATGTAGTTGAAATTGGAAAAGAATATTTCAAATAATGCAAAATATTTAATAAATGTCTATTCAAACATGTGATAATCTGCCTATCCTAAATAAATCAATACCTTAATAATATACATTCTGTATATAGTATCATAGGAGACAGGTGTTATCGCATACCAGTAATTTTACTTTATAGATAATATGATTTAATCAATATTTTCTTGCAAAATATTGAATAAAGAGGAGCTACTGTGTGTCTCTTATTTTGAAAGGTATCATGTTGTTGGGGAAGGGGGGCTATTAACCATGCAGCTCTTAAGATAGACCTAACCTTCAGTACTATAGTGAATTGTTAAGTAAAAACTAGCCAGGTGTTATTAAGTTGACAATTTTATGATATCATGCAATGTATAATATATTTAAACCATTTATGGATGTCATTTGCTTATTGCAATTCAAAATTGATTTTAACCCAACAAACCTGCAGAGGATCATGGTGTTCAAAGCACCACCCAAAATCGTATTATCGGAGGTAGGACATATTTGATTAAACCTTTGAGGGTAATGGATGTTTTGAAGGCCATAAGGGCATTGTATGCTAATACATGTGACATGTTTCTCTCTCAGAGTAGATTGAATTGTTCTATGCTGATGGTATTTGCAGAAAAAATCATCAGTGTGGGGTATAATTAATACACAAAATGACCGTTGGTTCCACATCTTGTCACAGAGAGCAATACATATGCACCAAGTATTTTCTGCAAGCACTGTCTGTTAAGGGTGGTTATACTGTATGACTTATGTGGTATGTTTCCCTGATGAGAGAAATATTGATATGGGATAGGGTATCTTTCTCTTAACAAGATACATCTCAGGCCTGTAGCCATTAGGGGTTAGGGCGACCCCCCCCCCCCCATGGCCAAACATTCTTTCAAAATCATGCAGTTTTTCACTGTTCTGAGCATTTTAGACCACCCTGGAATTTTTGTGAAAAGTGACCTCCCTTTGGAAAAAGCTGGCTGTTTGTCTGTATCTGATACCGATTACAATAAAATCGAATGCTACTAAAAAACAAAAACTTTTCGTTAAACCTCTCCAACCAGCTGAATATATAACATTCAAAACCTAGGATAAATCATGTAGAATTTACTTGCCACATGTATTATTTATGAAGTCACCTGATTGGTTGTGAAAGTCAAAAGTCAACACTACTCATACATCTTCCTGATGCTCCTAAATGTGAACTTGAAATCAGATTCACATCAGGTTCTGTACCATAACTAAAACTGATAGCGAAATTTTTTAGATTGCAATAGTTTATTGGATCCAATGATGTAAACTGTAAAGAGAAAAAGTTACTATCTTAACTTGTATTCTTGAATGCAACTAACAGCTGTTGGCTATAGGATTGAACTAGTATATTATGGGCAACTCAATTAAATATGAATGGAATAGGTATTATTCATATTTAAATGAGTTGGTCCTAATAAAATAGTAGGTTAAGCCAGTAGCTGTTATTTGCATTCGCGAATACAAGCTAAAACTTGGTCGTTCATCTATGGCTTGGTTAGACAGTGTTGGAATTGGAAACTGAAAATAGTTGGTCAAGCCATGAAGCACGACTTCTTACTTGCTTGAAATGCCAGGAATACATTCATGGAATGGATGTTTTTAGCTCATTTAAAGTCAAGACTCCACTATAGATGTCACCCCATGTATATAGAGATTGATACACAATACATATAGAGCACCCTCATTTCAGTTTTAGGCTCCATGATGAAGTATTTTTGCATGGTTCATAATCAGTATTTTATTTATTTGTTACTTATTTATGAGACTGCTTTTATATTCGCATGTGTACCATATATTTTGCTTGCATGATATTGTTGTATTTGATTTGGTATTTGATTTTTTACTGTTTAGATTTTATGTCACCATCAACAAAAGCTGAACATCTTGTAATGGTCTCTATACTTTTTATCATTTTAGGGCATGTGTTCAGTGTCTGCAACAGTTGTTACGCTTTTGTAACAATTTTGCAATAATTCAATACTTAATGTTCAGATTAACTTGATACATGTTTACATTTTGGAACTTTTGTAATATAGCAGTAACTTGAAGAGGGGGATTAACCCCAGAGTTCAAAGATGACATACGCTTATAATGTAAACCTGTATTGAGATGACATACACCTCTGATTGGTCCGAATCGATAAACAAAAATGGCGGATTCAAAATTTTCTAATAACGCTTTGAATAATATTATGTTGATTCCTGGCGTATTAACCAATATCATAGCTTGGTTTTTCACATCAAGATAAAGAAATATGTAAGGAATATGTTTACATCGATTAAAACATCAGGACGACACGCTATGTTCGAAAATTAACTGGTGAGAATTTGCGCAAACGAATGTGGTACGCAAGAGTATTATGTCTGTCATCGCTAAAGCTCTGGGGCTTTCCCTCCTCTTAGTAACCTGTGAATAGTCACATAGACATAGCTTGGACTCTTTCAAATATTGTATGACCAGATGGTGACATATTGTCACAGTGTTGTATTATAATAACTTTTGGAAAATTGTATGTTGCATGATATACAGCATTCCAAAATTTACCTCTAGATTGGTTTTAATTTTAGGCTGGAGTCACAGGGATCAATGAAATTGGCTGATTTTAATGTCTTTGCAGTAGATACTTTACATATGAGTCATGATTTTTTTTAAAAATAATTCAGGTTGCACCAAATACATTATGAATATCAACCTTTTCTGATCCCTGGCTTCTTGTTGTGTTGCTTACTGGGCGATGCAGCCTTAATATAAATGTCATAATGGTATAAAGGCACTTAATTACTTGGCTGTAGGCATGTTTTTTTAGTTTTGTTTTTAACTGTTCTTCAGTTTTTACGTGCCCTCTGCTACTCCTACATCCACTGATCCAGGATTTTGCATGAAACAAGCAATGGATTTCACTATTAGAGGTAAATGAATGCACCCTATTATTTCAATTCAACACTTTCATAATAAAGGAGTGGTATCGATATGGAGAACTTTTTGAACACACGTTTCTCTTAAATGAGTCATAAAAAAATCTAAAAATTTAACACACCGTCAATTTAATGGTCATCTTTTGAATGATAACAATATAATTTGAAAAATATCGTACTCTCATCTATATTGTTTTAGAAAACACATCAAACACTTGTTTTGTTCTTGGTATCGTGTTTCCAGAGTGAAATGAACCATCATTCCGAACCTCATTGGAACAAAACGACATAACACAACATGTTTAGGTCTCTCAATATTGTAATTGTACAAAGGAAATTTTGTTTGATTTTAGTTTATCTTCATTTTTATCTATTTTGGGGGATTTTGTTTTAATTTTTTGAATACTTTTTTAAAATCAACCCAAAATTCCTTTGTATAACTATAATATTGAGAGTTGACTCTTATCATGACGGCTTCAATTCATAATGTAAATTAATTTTAAGATGTTATCTTTCCGATATTTAATTTTCCTAAGCATAAATCGGAAAATTAACCACTTACACAGTATTGCTAAACATTGACATGTTTATGTTTGAATCATTTCATTTGATACAATTATTTTTGTATGTGATTCCATAATAAAAGAGCAAATCGACCATTGACATAGTTTGCCATCTATATGACATATATATATTATCAGTGGCATAGCCAGCAATTGGTGACCAGGGGTTCGATTTTTTATGTTATCCACAAATCTCCCCTTTCATCGGTGTACCTCACATAAAAGCATTTTTTGTTTTTTTTCATACATACAATTCATTCTTTAGAGTTCATTCATAGATATGACGAATTCTGAACATGCAATTCCCACACTTTTAGCTGAATTTTGAAAAGATTTCAAATCAAAAGATTTTTATTTGCTATTTCATTTTGATAGGCGCACAGAGACAGATGACAAAAATAGTATTGTATGAATAGAATGAAACTAAAAGACCAAATTGAAATAACAATATATCCAATGTGCTCTGTAGGCTCTAACATTATACATTTCTTTTAAATTTTAATGCCTTGCAACAAAGAACAACTAATGCTGAAAAACTTATTTGTTCTTATTTGAATTGAAAATAAAAAATAAAACATTCCATTCTCTATCACCGTTCTGCTGTTTTTTATCATAAATGACGAGAATCATGAATGTTTTGAGAAATGAAAACATTTTAAATGAACTTGTGAATCATTATAAACTTTAATTTGTTTTTGAGAAATGAACATTTCATTATCTTATTAAAGAATGCTGTCAAATCCTTTTTAGACACACGATTTGAAACTTGTGCAAGGCTAATACTCTCGTCTTTCTTGCAAATATACTCCCCTCCAGAAGTTTGGCAACCTTAGCTCCCTCCTCTTTATGTTTGAATTTTTATTTACATAACCTGCGAGGATAATACTAATAATATTGATGGAAATGTAACTTGACTTCATTTCCAATGCCACAAATTTTCCCATTTTTTTTCTTCTAAATTTGATTTGATTTGAAAATCGTCTTTCCCACGTAAACCAAGGGGAACCAATGGGCTTTATGTTTAATTAGTAGATAATTAAAAAAGCGGTAAAATCATTCAAAAGAGGCTTTTCAAAAATATTGTAAAAGGCCAAATACTTCTAAAAGAAGATTGAGTCGTGGAAACATCGAGTCCACGCAAACTCAAACCTTGTTATATTTCAACATATTCATCAAAATATTAAACCGTGTTTCGCATGGCAAATAGGTCTTAGTTTCCAAAATACACGTGGTCACTTGGTAACCTAATTAACCTGGCCACAGATCCAAGTTATAAAATGTATCGTTGTAACAGTTGCCACAGGTTATGTGAACGTATCATTGTGCATTATTTGCAGTGTGAGTATTTTTCAATGCATAGGAACTTTTTTGGGGGAAACTCATCGGCCATCTACCTATAAGTGTGGGTGTAAATCTGTTTAACCTCCCCGATGAAAAACTAACTCACACACTTTTAGGCAGTAGGTAAGAGTTGTTCATGGATGATTCGATGTTTGAGAAATTCATAATATGTGAAGCGTAAGCCTGTTTGACATTAAAGGTTTCTTCAGGATTCACAAGATTCCACGAGTCTTGGGGAGTATACTTGAATATACCTTCATCCTAAACAATGTATATAGAGCATCTGAAGAACATGCTTCTGTAAATATGCTGAATCTCTTTTTTATGCTTCTAACCTTTGTAAATTATGTAATTTAATTTGATGTACATTTTTATCCTCTCCCCAACACGGAGGAAATAAAGAAACATAAACATAAACATTGGTACACCACGTGATTTCTTTAATATTTTTTATTATGAACTTTTTCCCTTAACTGTGACAATAAAATACTCATTCGTAATAATAAATCTAGACTTATTTGATATACTCCTTCTTATGCCTTTTTTTAGCGTACACTTGTATTTAGTACCAGAGACATACTCACCTAATTGCCTCCCTTAACTCTTTTGCGCGGTCAGGCGAGTTTTGTCGCCACTACGCTTTATGGCGTATGTCAACCTGGAGTCGACATGCTATAGGAAAGTTTTAGCAGACTTCAAAAGATGTCACCCTTGTATTGCAGTGCCAATATTTGGTACTCACATTGACAGGAAGTGATTTAAAATTAATTTGGCGAAGCAAAGTTTCTGAAAAAAATTATTTTGGTCACTTAATTGATTTATTTTGTAACAAATACGAATCTGGAAGTGATCAGACATTGTGATATTTAAAAAGGGCTAGATTTAGACGGGTAATAATGATCAAATCGCTGCTATATTCAATTATTCTGGCAGTGAAGCCTAATATTTGAAGCCTCAGAAAATGAAACTCAGAACGATGATGGGCCTGACAACTCTGTGCCTGGGGGACAGGCAAGGGAAGCTGCTGGGGTACACCAAGGTAATATTTAGTAGGGGTCTTATGTTTTTTTGCAATACATAATGTTTAGGATTTTTTATCATCAGTGCCTCTATTTGTGATGAGTTCATACGTTAACATATGATTTATACATATGTTTCCAATTATGAGTAAAAATTTGGTGGTGTTATCTCTGTTGGTTTAGGATTTATGTCACTTTCAAATTGGCAGGCATGAAAATCCTAATTTTTAGTAAATTAATTACCGCTCGGTAGCTTTTAAAAATAATTAAATACCGCGCAAAAGAGTTAATCCATTTATTTGCTAAACATTTATAATTAATGACATTAACACGATCCACTAAAGTTTGATATTCGTGAAAATAGAGCATATACTAAATACACCGAAACATCAACAATTTAAGCTTAAAATAATCTTCGAGATAAACATGCATCTGAAAAGAAAACTGATTTTTTCGCAATGGATTTATTTTTCCTTGAAAAAGTGATGGATAATCGATCAAATGCTTGTGTTTATAAATGATACATATGCTTTGAATAATAACTCATTTCAAAATGTTTCTATTATTTAATATTTGCTTTTGAGGATCAGCCTTGAGGACTTAGCAAGATTTTTTTGTTTGAATTTTAACAAAACGGAGGCGCACAGATTTGAAAGAAAATGTTGAATTTTAACAAAACGGAGGCGCACAGATTTGAAAGAAAATGTGTTTTCATCAGTATTAAGACAGTTGGTTTATATTGCCGTAGATGGAGCAGCTTTTAAGTTGGAAAATAAGTTGTGCAAAATAATTGATATTTCTTCTTTGCATAATATCATGATGCTCCGGGATCTTCCCAAAATTAGACAATCCCACCCCATGCCTAAGGTTGCCAAACTTTTGGAGAGAAGTGTAATATTACTATTTTTATCTACTGGTCTTATAAATTGAATATATGTTGCTGGTTATTGCAATGAATTTTTCCACAAATATTTTTGGGGGGAACCGATCGAACCCCTGGTCCCTACGGCTATGATTATAAACATTTTATTAATGGCAGTCTAATCATTTGATTTCTTATCATTTGACTTACCCCCCCCCCCCCTCCCTTCTCTACAGTCAGATCACTAATTCTGTTATCTACTTTATATTTGAGAATAAGCAATCAAAGGATCATATTGCAAGATTAAATAGAAAAATACAAACTTTTGTATACATCCTAACTTTTGTATATTTTGGCTGGTTTTGTAGTAATTGGCTATCATGTGTGGAGCTTCCATTATTTTGATGTTTTTCTAATGCTGAACTTCCCTAAATTGCAAAAGGCCACAGCTTTACTGCACATAAAACCTAATTATCAAAAGTTAGGTCAAGTACATCTTATGTTTCTATTTTTCCATATAATCCTGTAATGTGATCCTTTGATTGCTTATTTTTCAAGTGATCTGACAGAAAAACTTTTGGAGAGGTTGTTCTCTCCATTGAATACCTGCCCAGGTGCAGTACTTCAAATTAATATGTAAAAATAAAATTTCAAAATGTTGCACAAAAATTCTAAAAACCTAAAATGTTACCCTTGAAATATTAGAAATTCTTAAGTGTTGCAATGACAATAACAAAATCCTCCACAAAGATCCCTTGGAGAGCACTTGAGGTCTAGTCATCTATAATAGAGGTACAGTCAATATAGAGATATAGTCAATATAGAGGTATAGTCAATATAGAGATATAGTCAATATAGAGGTACAGTCAATATAGAGATATAGTCAATATAGAGGTATAGTCAATATAGAGGTATAGTCAATATAGAGATATAGTCAATATAGAGGTATAGTCAATATAGAGATATAGTCAATATAGAGGTATAGTCAATATAGAGATATAGTCAATATAGAGGTATAGTCAATATAGAGATATAGTCAATATAGAGATATAGTCAATATTTAGAGGTTATGTCACTATGACGTGAAATATGCCTGAGTTCTCCCAATATAGGCCGACCTTGGGAGGCTCTATATTTGGGCAAGAACGAAGGCATATTTCACGTCATAGTGACATAACTGATGTATTACATGCCTTTGTTCCCATGGTT